CCCAAAAGTAGTATTGACGAAACACGAGCACTCATTAGCACGGGCGCAATTCACTCAAAATTGTAGTTGTATTTCTATGCTTCACCAAAATGAACCTTGTGCTTACGGTAGAAATGAGTGAAATTGAAGTCGAATGTGAAGGAACACACGGTGAAGAGCAAGGCACTGTGAGGACTCGATAAAACATTTTGGCTCTCTGAAGGAGGCATGATCAAGTGAGGCAAACTTTTGCTCACAAATCTCACCATTCATAGCGTGCAACACTGAAAAAGAACCGAACTGGGACAATGCTGCTCAACGATTATATCGATTACGCAGGGGTAATGCTGCCGACTGAAACGTCATGAATATTTCTCCAAACAATTGCATCAAAATTGCACCGTTTTCAGTTTGCATTTTCAAAATTCAATTATTTCCGTAACTGCTGAATATAAGAAAGACTACCAGGGAGACCTGAATGACAAACAGGCGTCAGCCACCGACCCAAGCACGCCACTAGAGCACGACGAAAGGACCTCGAACAGTTTGAGTTCGATTGCCTTTTCGAGTGCCACATAAAAGTTGCATCAAAGCAAACTAGCACAACCATATGTTAGATCAACGTTTTTTGCTGGAATCACTCAATCAAGCACCCTTAAAATTCCAGGATAAGCTCAAGGCAATACAAACCGACAGTTGCCAGCAGCGATGAAGATTTCAACAATCATTTACCTCAGTGGCCAAGTTAGCGAACTTAAGTCTCGAAAAATTTACCGACAAACTCAACCCCAGTCACAAAATACGAAATCATTGGCAAAATCATGTTAACGTGACGAACTTCCATAAGCCAAACAGAAATTCGGAATCTGTCAATACATTAACAATTCGATTTATTAGTTTTCGACAAGGAATAAATGACACAAGACCGAAACAATTGGGACGTGAAGGCGAGGGTGGGGGAGGGAGGAGGCGTGAGATATGCTACCAGGGGCGAAAATGAAAGGTACATTTAACTGACGAGGGGGGAACATAAAGGACGGCTTTGAGCGCAAAGTTAACAATAATCACCGAAAAGTAGAGAAGACAGAGAAGACCAGTAGGAAATGCAAAGTCCAGTGACAGTTGCTTAAGTTAACAAAGCTTCAGTCTCTTTCACCCTCTCGTGTATTATACCAATTTACAAAATCATCTCCTCCCGATAAAGCCGGTTTATTTCGTCCTTGAAAGTTCTACGAAAGGCAATGCGAAGCTTTTTTTGAGTAGGTGTCATTAGGCCAGACTCAACCGTAAACTCGTGAGGTGTAAGGAATATTGACTTCGCCTAAAACAGATGAGTGTGTCGAGCAATTAAGAGGGTGAAGTGAAGACAGATGTACAGAAAAACGTAGGGCACATACCTGCTCAAATCCCTTAAGACCAGCCTCCTTACCAAGACGGACGAGATCTTTGAGAACGATGAGGCAGGCCTCCTTCTTGGCGCAGAGTTCCTCATCAGAGATTTCGCATTCTTTAGCTTTCTTGAGGGCACCATTAACCAGCCCATTGGCAACAGAGCCGTTTGTGTTGAGACACATGGCTTCACGCAGTGACTTCATGTTAGGTACGCAAATTGCGATGGCAAATGACTCGCGCGAGTTCCCATCAAGGAAAATCTGGTTCACCAAGTGACTTTGTGCGTAGATCATTTCCACTCGTTCTGGCGAAACATATTCGCCTTGTGCTAACTTAAACATATTCTTGCACCGGTCAATAAGCTTCAAGGCGCCACGCTAACGAGGGGGAGAGTGGTCAGACATTACAAATCGTAAGACTCTAGTGAGAGGATACATTTCTTTAAAATCACTTACCGGAGTCCACTGACCGATGTCACCAGTATGAAGCCAACCGTCAGCATCAATAAGTTCAGCCGTTCGTTCTGGATCTTTATAGTAGCCTTTTGTGCAACTGGGACCTTTCACACAGATCTGAGGAATTTTAAATCAGGACGCAACAAAATGCACTTACCTCGCCAGCATTATCCCGAGAAACAATGACATCCATGTCAGGTACATCAATGAGTTTAATCATGGAGCAAGAAAGTGGAGTGCCCGTGTGACCAGCAACATAGTCATTGGGAAGAGTCATTATCATTGCTCCGCAGGACTCGGTCAAACCATAAGCTTCGTAAGCCTTCATGAAAAGTGTGAATTTTAGTGAGGTTAGATGGAATTCAAGGATAGTAGCAAAGAGAGCATACATGAACACCTAAGGCAGCTCTGCAAAACGAGTAGACTTCCGCCGATATGGGGGCGCTGCCACAGGCAAAGAAACGCAGACGTCCACCCATTCTATCCTGGATGGGTTTGAGAACGTACTTGTCCCAGAACGTGTCTCTAGTCACAATACCCCTATGAGACAAAAGAAATTAAGCGATGCAGATAAAGATCATGATGAGAAAGAGCAGAGAAAATAATGAGAGCGACTCACTCCCTGACATAGCTCATTTTGGCGTTAACGGCGGTTTTCAGAAGCCATCTCTTGATAGAAGAGTTAGCGACAGCGGCCTGGACGGTGCCGTAGAGGCGCTGAAGTACGCGCGGCACCGCAACGAAAAGCGTTGGACGGAGGGCAAGGATATCGTCCGAAAGCCGACGCAAGTCTCCGCTGAAGAAACCGACGGCTGAACCACGACCCAAAGCGTATTGCTGCAATGTTGTAACATCGCAAACTCCATCGATAAAGTTTGAAAATGTAAATTGAATTCAAGCAAACCCTCTCGTTAAATCACAAAACAGAGAACGTCAATGTGCTAAAGAAGTTGAAAAAGCGTCAGTCGTTGAGATTAGACACTGGAGCCCAATCGAACAACGGGAAAACCCTAATATGCAACGAAGGATTCCTGCAGAGTTGCAAGTTTACCATGGGACGACAACTTCGTTTTTTATCCAAAGATTAAGCCCATCCACGTCCATTTTTCAAAAGCTCAAGTTATCTGTGTTCCACAATAAGCTTAAATAGAAAATCCGCATGGAATTAAACACTAACAGTGCTTCCTTTACGAGACTTAGTTGCTAAATGCTGATGAGATTTGAGCTACATTTCTTTCAGCTTCGCAGGAAAACAGTGAGGAGGAGCAATACAAATCTGGTAGGACTACAAGATCCGGATGATGGAGTGAAAACGAAATGAGCAAAACTCACCATAACGATTTGTTCAAAAACATGGGCCAATGGAAGGAATGAGAGGTAGTAATCACCTGGCTTGATGTCCTTAAAGAAAAAAGCAATGTAAGTAGCATAATCGTATTGTGTAATTGATAAGCAATAAGTCCATCAATACCGGGATCTTGAATGTTCAAATCTTAGTTCAGGAACGAAGATTAGCTATAAAAATTTGCGAGTGCAACTGAGACATATGGTAAATCAAAGTACAACAATAACCCTCCAACAATAATAGCCCTCCTCTCAATTAGCCAATGTCAATCTATAAAAGGAGGACCTCGATGTAGAGTAGATTGTGACAGTTTGATGAAATCAAGTCCAGTACAAAACTGAAGAGCGTGGACATTAGATGACGAGCATTACAACCGCGTGATTTTAAACAGCGCTGCATAAGACCCGCAGATATTGCTTTCGAGTCTGTGACACCGTAGCTACAATGATTATGAAGCAAAGGCAACTGGTGCACTAGTCCCGAAGTTTCCACCATGCGGGTTAATTTATAAATTTCCGGTGGATAGGATAAGCAAATTCAGACTTACAACTTCCTGCAATTCCAGATCAAAACCAGCAATAACGGAGACAACCATGCGGTGAGTAATCATAACACCTTTGGGTCGACCTAAAGTTCATAAATGGAAAAGATCATTCACTGAAGCATACAATGTACTTAACCAATGAACGCAATTTCACGAATAAAGTGGAAACAAGACAAAAGTTTACCAGTAGTTCCACTTGTGTAGCAGATGAGGTGAAGGTCATCAGGTTGGGGTAGTTTATCGGGCTGAGCACCTTCCTTTCCCATTGCCTAAATGACAAAATTAAACTTATTGGGCCTCCGATTTGGGCCTGCTAAGACGTCATAGACTACCAGAGAAAATGACAAGGGATGAGAATGGTAGCGTCACCGGGACTAATTCAATTAAGATTGCACACCTAGAAGGTCGAAAAGCTCCATTAAGCTAACGTACCAACACCTCATCAAACGTATGCAACTTGATGTTGTGAGCTTCGGCCTCTGAACGCAAAACACCAAGCTCGCCACTGGGATGAATGAGGATGACATGCTTTACCCAACTGCCTGTTGCGGCCGTGTCTTCCAAAATGTTCCGCACTCTGGCAGCGGAATCACAAACACATATAGACAACTCAGCTGGAAGAGCAAAAGGCACAATAGCAAGAGAAGTGGACCCAAGAGCATGAAAATCACAACTTGGAAGTTTAGTGCTTACTTTGCTCAAGAATGTGTTTGCGAGCAACTTCTCCAAGTGTGTCATAAAGAGGCACGATAATAAAGCCGAACGTCAAACACGCTTGCTGAGTGAGCGCCCACTTGGAGGAAAAGAAAGCCACTCAAATAACATTACTGCTACTTTGAATGAGCATTGGAAAGTCATACAAAAATTTACTTCAACGCAGTTAGTGGCGTAAACACCAATGCAGACATCCTTCAAATCAGCTGACTCGAGTGTTTTAAGACCCGAACCCAAACGACAAATTCGACGATAGGTCTGAAAAGATCATTTATTATTAATTTAAACGTTCCTCCCAGACCAAGGGACTCAATCAATGTCCCACTTTACGACAAGACACCTAACTTCAAAAGCCTAAATTAGCACATATCAGCCTAACAAGACAAACACATTATCAAAACAAACCTCGGCATATGTAATCCACTTGTACGGCGCATCCGGTGCTGGCCTCCAACCGAGACAATGCTGATTTTCTAAAGAAATAAGTTGATTTCCCAAACATGTGATAGATCAAAACGCTGATACAAATTCAGCATTCAACAGGACGATTACCGCTAAGAATACTGTATAGTAAGGAAGGTAAGTGATGAGGAGATCCGAGATCAACACCAATAATTAGCAGCAAGTACGGAAAAATGTCCACTCATTACTTGGATGTAACTAAAAGTTGATCGTAACGCACTTGCAATTTTGAGTCCGTGCTGGAATACTTCATAAAGTGTTGAAAGATTGCCCATCAATTTATCGACAAGAGGACCATCCCTAGTATACGGAGAGGTTCTTATGTTTTCCTAAACCAAAGGCAAACATATAGTGAACGAGATATAATGAACGGTCCCGGATCACCCGTAAAATTAACGATGAAATTTAAATGGGAAAGTCTACAACACTACCTTGGCATCATAAACGTAACTTTGGGCATTTAGTTTTTCATCAAGCCTTCGACGGCGATATCTGCTAGAAACCATTGATTTAATTATCCATGTCAAACAGATGACCCCAGCGGTAGCTGCGACCGCAAACGCCGAGTAAGTGGAAATAGCTGGAAAAGAATTAAGGAATTGCAGTTTAAAATACAATTACGAGGCTGCATTATTGTGAAGGCATAAATAACACATTGAAAATGAGAACCGGAGACAAAAAATGGGTTGTGTAGCATAAGCGGTAGCAACCAAGACACATGCACAGAGACACCCGATCTTACCA